ATTTTTGGGAATGGATTCCTGGGAATTCAGGCAATTTGGGACTTTTTTGGGGGGTTTTTGGGGGATTTTGGGGGGTTTTTTGGGGGGTTTTGGGAAAGAAGGAGGGAGGAGAATTCTTGGGATTGTGAGGAGGAATCTCTGGGATTTTTGGGGAGGGATTGTTGGGATTTTTGGGAATGGATTCCCGGGATTTTTGGGAATGGATTCCTGGGATTTTTGGGAATGGATTCCTGGGATTCTTGGGAATGGATTCCTGGGATGTTTGGGAATGGATTCCTGGGATTTTTGGGAATGGATTCCTGGGATTTAAGGGATGGATTCCTGGGATTTTTGGGAATGGATTCCTGGGATTTTGAGGAATGGATTCCAGGGATTTTTGGGAATGGATTGCTGGGATTTTTAGGGAGGAATTTCTGGGATTTTTAGGGAGGAATTTCTGGGATTTTTGGGAAGGGATTGTTGGGATTTTTGGGGAGGGATTTCTGGAATTTTTGGGAATGGATTCCTGGGATTTTTGGGGAATTTTTTCCCAAAAATCCCAGAAATTCCTCCCTAAAAATCCGGGATTTTTTTTTTTTTTTTTTTAATTTTTTTTTTTTTGGGTGGAGGTGTGGGGGGACATCCCAAAACTTTTGAGAATTCCCTGGATTTTTTTCCCCCTCCCTCCTGCAGGTCCTGGAAGCCTTCGAGCAGGCGGAGAAGGAGCCCAAACCCTCCCCCCACCTCCTGTTTTCCGACGTTTACCTGGAGATGCCGCCGCGGCTCCGCAGGCAGCGGGAGGAGCTGGAGCGGCACCTGGAGACCTACGGGGAGCATTACCCCCTCCAGCACTTCCAGAAGTGATTCCCAGAAATTCCAGGGGGATCGGGATTCCCGGAGATTCCCGGAATTCCAGGGGGAGCCAAAAATTCCCAGCGGGAATCGCGAATAAAAGACGGTTCGGGAGAGACTCTCGTGGGATTTTTTGGGAAGGATTTTTGGGAAGGAATCCAAGGGATTTTCGGGAGGTCTCTGGGATTCTGGGGAGGAAGATTCCTGGGATTTAGGGCAGGAAAAGTTGGGATTTTGGAGGAGGAGACCCTCAGAATTCCCTCAGAATTCCATGAAACCCCCCCCCCCCCAGAGACCCACAGGGAACGTTATCCCTTCCAGGAGTGAATTCCCGGCATTCCAGGAGCTCCCTCGGGAATTCCAGGAGCTCCCCCAGATTTCCAGGAGCTCCCTGGGGATCCCAGAGATTCCCAGAGATTCCCAGAATTCCGGGAAAGCCCCAAATTCCCAGCGGGAATGGCGAATAAAAGCCGGTTCGGGAGAGACTCTCGTGGGAATTTTTTTGGGGAGGAATCCAAGGGATTTTTGGGATTTCGGGGTGGGATCCCAGGGATTTTGGAGCAGGAGATTCCTGGGATTTAGGGCAGGAAAAGTTGGGATTTGGGGGGGGGAGGAGACCCTCAGAATTCCCTCAGAATTCCATGAAAACCCCCCCCTGGAGACCTACGGGGAGCATTATCCCCCTCCAGCACTTCCAGAAGTGATTCCCGGGAATTCCAGGGGGCTCGGGATTCCCAGAGATTCCCAGAGATTCCCAAAGATTCCCAGAGATTCCCAGAATTCCGGGAAAGCCCCAAATTCCCAGCGGGAATCGCGAATAAAAGACGGTTCGGGAGAGACTCTCGTGGGATTTTTTTGGGGAGGAATCCAAGGGATTTTTGGGAAGCAGGAGGTCTGGGATTTCGGGGTGGGATCCCAGGGATTTTGGAGCAGGAGATTCCTGGGATTTAGGGCAGGAAAAGTTGGGATTTTGGGGGGAGGAGACCCTCAGAATTCCCTCAGAATTCCATGAAAACCCCCCCTGGAGACCTACGGGGAGCATTACCCCCTCCAGCACTTCCAGAGGTGATTCCCGGGAATTCCAGGATTCTTGGGATTCCCAGAGATTCCCGGAATTCCGGGAAAGCCCCAAATTCCCAGCGGGAATGGCGAATAAAAGCCGGTTCGGGAGAGACTCTCGTGGGGATTTTTTGGGAAGGAATCCAAGGGATTTCTGGGATTTCGGGGTGGGATCCCAGGGATTTTGGAGCAGGAGATTCCTGGGATTCAGGGCAGGAAAAGTTGGGATTTGAGGGGGGGAGGAGACCCTCAGAATTCCCTCAGAATTCCATGAAAACCCCCCCTGGAGACCTCCGGGGAGCATTACCCCCTCCAGCACTTCCAGAAGTGATTCCCAAAAATTCCAGGATTCCTGGGATTCCCAGAGATTCCCGGAATTCCGGGAAAGCCCCAAATTCCCAGCGGGAATGGCGAATAAAAGCCGGTTCGGGAGAGACTCTCGTGGGGATTTTTTGGGGAGGAATCCAAGGGATTTTTGGGATTTCGGGGTGGGATCCCAGGGATTTTGGAGCAGGAGATTCCTGGGATTTAGGGCAGGAAAAGTTGGGATTTGGGGGGGGGAGGAGACCCTCAGAATTCCCTCAGAATTCCATGAAACCCCCCCCTGGAGACCTACGGGGAGCATTATCCCCTCCAGCACTTCCAGAGGTGATTCCCAAAAATTCCAGGGAGCTCGGGATTCCCAGAGATTCCCAGAGATTCCCAGAGATTCCCAGAGATTCCCGGAATTCCGGGGGAGCCAAAAATTCCCAGCGGGAGTGGCGAATAAAAGACGGTTCGGGAGAGACTCTCGTGGGGATTTTTTGGGAAGGGATCCAAGGGATTTTTGGGAAGGGGTCTCTGGGATTCTGGGGAGGGAGATTCCTGGGATTTAGGGCAGGAAAAGTCGGGATTTTGGGGGGAGGAGACCCTCAGAATTCCCTCAGAATTCCATGAAAACCCCCCCTGGAGACCCACAGGGAACGTTATCCCTTCCAGGAGTGAATTCCCGGCATTCCAGGAGCTCCCTCGGGAATTCCAGGAGCTCCCCCAGAATTCCAGGAGCTCCCTGGGGAGCCCAGGATTCCCAGAGATTCCCAGAGATCCCCAGAATTCCGGGAAAGCCCCAAATTCCCAGCGGGAATCGCGAATAAAAGCCGGTTCGGGAGAGACTCTCGTGGGGATTTTTTGGGAAGGAATCCAAGGGATTTTTGGGAAGGGGTCTCTGGGATTCTGGGGAGGGAGATTCCTGGGATTTAGGGCAGGAAAAGTTGGGATTTTGGAGGAGGAGACCCTCAGAATTCCCTCAGAATTCCATGAAAACCCCCCCCAGAGACCTACGGGGAGCATTACCCCCTCCAGCACTTCCAGAGGTGATTCCCGGGAATTCCAGGGGGCTCGGGATTCCCAGAGATTCCCAGAGATTCCCAGAGATTCCCAGAGATTCCCAGAGATTCCCAGAATTCCGGGAAAGCCCCAAATTCCCAGCGGGAATGGCGAATAAAAGACGGTTCGGGAGAGACTCTCGTGGGGATTTTTTGGGAAGGAATCCAAGGGATTTCTGGGATTCTGGGGTGGGATCCAAGGGATTTTGGAGCAGGAGATTCCTGGGATTTAGGGCAGGAAAAGTTGGGATTTTGGAGGAGGAGACCCTCAGAATTCCCTCAGAATTCCATGAAAACCCCCCCCTGGAGACCTACGGGGAGCATTACCCCCTCCAGCACTTCCAGAGGTGATTCCCGGGAATTCCAGGGGGTTCAGCATTCCCAGAGATTCCCAGAGACTCCCAGAGATTCCCAGAGATCAGGATTTTTGGGAATTCTCCCAAATCCAGGCCCTTTCCTTGGGAATTCCAAACCCTTCCCATGGGAATTCCAAACCCTTCCCTTGGGAATTCTCCCAAATCCAAACCCTTCCTTCAGGAAGATGGGGAAGTGATTCCCATTCCCAGGGCTGGAATTTCGGGATTCAGGGGGGATTTGGGATCTGATTCCCACCCCCAGGGCTGGAATTCCAGGATTCCAGAAGGGATTGGGGATCTGATTCCCATTCCCCAGGGCTGGAATTCCAGGGGTTGGGATTCCTGGGAATGGGATTTGGGAAGATCAGGATGTGATTCCCATTCCCAGGGTTGGAATTTCGGGATTCAGGGGGGATTTGGGATCTGATTCCCATTCCCAGGGCTGGAATTTCGGGATTCAGGGGGGGATTTGGGATCTGATTCCCATTCCC